TTCTTTTTTCCTTCCTTAGTGAAATTGTTGTTAAGCACCCCATCAATCACTCGAGGCGCTCTATGTTATAAATCTGGAAACTGACATCAGTACAAATTAACTCATTGAATGAGACACCCGAAGCCTCTCTGAGGGTCCCAGCATCTGTTACAGAGACTAAGAATGAGGGCTCTGGGGTTCAAGATCCACCTCCAAATCCTGGTGCTGCCATTAACTAGTTGTGTGACCTTAGAAAAAGTTATCTTTATCTTGGTTTGCTCATCTTCGAAATGGGGATAATGAACCTTTCATATGTCTACTGACAGGTGAACATACTATGGTATGTCCATACAATGGAATACTACTCAGCAATAAAAACAAACAGGCGAACAACATACAATAATGAGGATGAATTTCACAATCATTATGCTAAGTAAAAAAAAAAAACAGGCACAGATGCATGTATACTTATGCTTTCACTTACATAAAATTACATAAAATGAAAATATTCTGATAAAAAACACATCAGTAGTGGTCTGAGACCAGGGGCAGAAGAGGGATGGACAGGGGCATGAGGAAATTTTGTCTTATAGCGGGAGGGTGATGGGAATGTTCTGTATGTTGATGGCGGTGATGGCTACACAGGACATGTATATTGTCAAAACTTAAATTATGCACTTTGAATGGATACAGTTTACTATATATAAATAAGATATCAACAAAGATCATTTAAAAAAATTTCTCATGGATTTGTTTTGAGAATGAAACAAGAGAAAACGTAAAACGCTAGGCCTGGTTGGTGGCACATAAATGCTTGGTAATACCTGACAATGGTAATGCTAGTGGACACTGAGGTCCAACAGCAAGTGTTCTCTTGGGCGTCAGAAGACCAGAGTCTCCCTGAGTCCCACTATATTGTATAATAATCTGTAAGCCTCTATTTCTTAATATGTTTCCACATGGCAGGTTTGGTCAAGAGGGCCTACAGAGTTCCTTGCAGCACAACAATTTGCTTTTACAGTGACATCTCTCATGGCAGCCCATACAACCTTCTAATAGCATGTATTTATCACGTGGGCAAACGGCGGCATTCAGAAAGTTTTGCTGTGACATTTAAGGTTACTCCTTGAAGTGTACCATTTTCTATGATGATAAAGGCGGAGAAAGTAGGATTTCTGAAGTCCTTTCCAGGGAGTTGAAAAGACAGAGTATGGGAAAGCCGACTAGCCCTCCAACAGGACAGTGACTTTAACTGTTTTCATTTGGAAGTTTTGGCTGAAAAACTCTTAAAATCTTTCTCCTGAAATGTAATGTTTTCTTCCCTACATCACAAGTCTCTCAATGTTTTGACAAATACACAAGCAACTGGGGACTGAAGCTATCCCAAGAAGACCCACAGCTGACTTGCAGTATGCTCACTCCTATGTGCCATCCCAAACTGGCCCGATCCTCATGCTATGAACTACCTGCCTTCATCACCATCTCCCTCTCCCTCGTTCAAATCTGAGACTCCAGAACCATTATTCTAGTGTTATAAAAATTTTCTCACATGCTGCTCCTTAACCTCCTAACACTTTTATTTTGGGGGTGGGGATTGAACTCAGAGGCACTTGACCACTAAGCCATGTCCCCAGCCCAATTTTGTATTTTATTTAGAGACAGGGTCTCACTGAGCTGCTTAGAGCCTTGCTTTTGCTGAGGTTGACTTTCAACTCATGATCCTCCTGCCTCAGCCTCCCGAGCTGCTGGGATTATAGGCATGCACGACCACGCCCGGCTGGCTAACACTTTTATTAACATCTAGAGGAGGCCCTGTTTCCTTGAGTCCTTGGCACGTCCTCCCAGTCACCTCACTGTCCTGTGCAATTAATGGCTGAAGCAGCTGACAGTCTGTTAGGACAGTCAGATCAAAAGCAGGGCCAGCAACCACCAATCACCGAGCTGCCAGTTCAGGGCTGGCAGGACATCCCAGGTACAGGTCTGAGAAAACAGACTTCGAGAACAGAAATGCAGGTGTCTTAGTTACCAGGGTCACTGGAAATTATTAGGGATAAAGTCTGGCAGCGGAAAGGAGATTAGTGGCCAAAGCTAAAGGAAGAAGATCTGGCAAAAAGGAACGAGCTTGTCAACAGGAGATACTGAAAGTAAAGAAAACTGCGGAGGAAAGACGAGAGCATGCTCAGGAGCTTCCCCTGCTCCCACAGGTAGGCTGCCCGTCTCACCTCTAGTGCTGACTCTTCTGCTTTGGAACCCCTTTGGGATGAGATGAGGTAGAAGTACTTTTTCACATGACCCCTATACTCTCCAGTGCTCAGTCCTGATGTTCAGGGGCACCACAGCAAGCAGGTTGCAATCTTTCGTGTGCCAAATACTCACCTGGGCAGCTTAGCTAACTTAATTCAGTTCCCTGGCCCCAGTTAAGTTTGACTTGAACAAGGCCGGGGAAGAGAAGACTGGGAAGCTGTGCAGAGGAAAAGCTTCAGGATCCGACTGTCTGTAGGTAAGCCATGCCTATGTAAGGTGAAAGGCCACAGGCTGGGCAAAGAATTAGCACCAGGAAAATGTGAGCTGAACAATCCCCAGAGCCGTATGGAACTGCAAGAGGCTCAGCTCCATCCAGCCAGAGGGGACAGACCTTAGTGAAGAACAGGCACTCAGCAGAGACCCCTTAGTGTCTCAGTGTTTAGGGCTAACTCCAGACCTGCCCTATCAGGCTCCAAGACAATTCTCAAAACGAAGAGATACATTAACTGCCTACCAAAATAAATAGGTCAGTCATTCAAGAAAGACTCAGAATCCAGCCATTCAACACAGGAACATCCACAATGTCCAGCATCCAGTCAAAAACTACTAATTGTGTGAAGAAGCAGAAGAATATGACTTGTAATCAGAAGAAAAATCAGTTAATAGAAACAGCCTCAGAAAAGATAGAGACAATGGAATTAGCAGCAAAAGGACGTGAAAACAGCTACTATAATGCCTATCATCAAGAATAAAGAAAAACAGCCAAGAGGATGGCGCAGGCCTGTAATCCCAGCTACTCAGAAAGCTAGGCAGGAGGATCCCAAGTTCAAGGCCAGGCTGAACAACTTAATGAGACCCTGTTTCAAAATAAAAATAAAAAAGGCTGGGGATATACCTTGGTGGTAGAGTGTTCCTCAGCTTAACCACCAGTAACCACTCCTCAAAAGGAATAAATGAAGTCTCTAGAGCTGAAAAGTCTATTAGAAATAGTAATTCACTGAATGGGCTTTTTTTTTTTGGTGCTTGGGGATTTGAACTCAGGGCCTCATGCATGCCAGGCAGGCACTTTACCACTGAGCCACATCCCCAGTCCCTGAATGGGCTATTTTAATAGTTGATTGGACATTAAAAAAAAATCACAAAAAAGAAAAGAGCAATTACACAGCAAAAGAACCATCCAAACAGAAGAAAAGGGAAAAGCAGACTGAAGAACAAACAAATAACAGAAAAACCACTGCCTCGATGACAACAGTGTGGACAAACATAACTAGAGCCCCAGAAGGAGTGGAAGGAAAAACATACATAAAGAAATACTGCTGGGGCTGGGGCTGGGGCTGGGGCTCAGTGTGGAGCACTTCAGTGTGGAGCACTTACCTAGCATGTGTGAGGCACTGTGTTCGACTCTCAGCACCACTTATAAATAAGTAAATAAAGGTCCTTCAACAATTAATAAAACTATTTTAAAAAGAAAGAAATACTGGCTAAAATTGTTTTCTGAATTTGATGAAGATTATAAATCCACAGACTCTGGAAGTTCAAATAGAATAGACGCATACACAAAAGAACTACATTGCACAGAGGGGAACAAAGACAGAACGACTACTGATGTCTCACCAGAAAGAATGTGGGACCAAAGACAATGAAGTAACTAAAGTGCTAAAAGAAAAAAAACAAAACATTAGCCTAGAGTTCTGTGTCTGGTGAAAAGTGAAGACATTTTCAGGCAGGAAGACGGTGCTGCTGAGGACCTGCTCCACCAAAAAGGATCAAGTTCTGAAGGAAACGGATGCCAGGGAGAAACCAGGATCTCCATAAAGGAGTGAGAAGTATGAAAACGGTAAATAAGTAAGTTGTTTTTTTTTTTTTTTTGTAGTCCTGAGGCTCAAACCCAGGGCCTGTGCATGCAAGGCAAGCACTCTACCAACTGAGCTATAGCCCCAACCCAATATGCAGGTGTTTAAAAAAGCTTTAGTAATTTTAGGTTCCAAACATAAGCTCCCCTCTAGTAGGTTGCTTTGAGAGAGTCACACAGACTACATCTCTTCCCTTGAGTCTTGAACACAAGCTGATGCGGAGCCACAACCGCTGGCCTTTCTAGTCCTTATTTGTCCTTCACTTCCACAGTCAGTATTAACCGACTACTATGTGTCAGTACTGCAGATGCCAAGTGAATAAGTCAGAGTGTCTGCCATCAAGGAGCTTAGTGTCTGGGGCAGATGATGGGGAGGGGGCAACCAAGTCAACAAAGACTCAGAGTGGGACCTCCTAAGTGTACTCAAATCCTAGCAGCGTTGTGACCTCAGGCACTCTCTTGGTGCCTCAGTTCCCATCACTGTGAGATGGGGATGACAATGGTACTCTCCATCTGAAGAGTTGTGGTGAGGTTCAATGTTATAACCTACAAACTGTCAGAACTGGCAGTGCTGGTGCCTGGTGCACACTGAGCACCCAGGAAGGTCTAGCTATTGTCGTTACGGTGGAGATTTGCCAAGGAGGCTGTGGGGGCACATAGGACATCTGAGAGAGAGGATAGGATGGAAAGGGAAGACATTCCAGAGGAGGCGACACTTGGTTAGGTTTTCAAGGACAAGCAAGGTCAGTGGATAACGATGGGGGTAAGGTACTCCGAGCAGAGGCAAGATCATTAGCAAGGCATGGCGATGGGACTCTGTGCGTGAGGAGACCATTGCACACGAGTTCAGAAAGGCTGCAGTCCAAGAAATGCCCAGGACTCTGCGCCCTCTCTAGATGCCTGACTTCCTGCAAGGTCATCTTACCTCCTCCGTCATCCATTCCATCCAGGCTGTGCCGTCTGAGGCGGTGGCTGCCCCCAAAAAAAGGAAGAAAAAGAGAGAAGATGATGAGTTTTAAACCCCAAAAGGAACTACCCATTTTTTATTGCAGCCACTGTTTCTCTTAGGTGGCGATGTCCCTACGCCAGCTTTCATTCCCCATTGTGGTCAGACCTAACTGGGCAACTGGCTCTGCCATGTATGGTTCCACAGCCTGCCTGATGCTCCACTCTGAAGGCCATCCTCACGCATCATGACATGAATGCTCCCCGGCCCCTGGAGGTGTGACATTGGTGGCCTTGCTTTTACAGTCACATTTATCTAGAAACTTCTTTTTCTTTTTGAGGTAAGTCTGAGGAGGAGGTAAGGCTTAGCAAGCTGGCATTGCTTCTGCCTGTTTCTGTCAAGCTTAGGTCAGCATCCTGAGATGAGCACACAGCAATTCTGAGACCACTCGGTGGGAGAGATGATGTGGGCACCGATGCCACAGTCCAGACCGTCAGCCAGGGAGGCAGCACTGTCCAAGCCCTTGACCCAGTATGCATGAGACCAGCCCTGGTCCACAGCCAGATTTGTGCTATCTTATTTCTAAACGCTGTGTTCACCACAGGCTGAAGACATAATGACCATTAGGGCTATGCTGTTGACAAAGGTCACCAGAGGATGCCATAGGAAAACTGGACACATACTCTTCTATCTCTTCTGAAGCCTTCCTCCCAAACCTGCAAAAGAGAAGATGAGGTTTCTGAGAACACACGAGTCTCACATTTGGGGTAATGTTCTGGGAAAGGGTTTCAAAGGTGGGGACAAATTAGTATATCACAGTGCTTTAATTATCTGATTCCTCTTTTTTTTTTTTTTTTTGCCTTATGCTGGGGATTGGACCCAGAGATACTCTACCACTGGGCCACACTCACAGCCCTTCTTATTTTGAGACAGGGTCTCTCTGAGTTGCTGAGGTTGGCCTTGAACTTGTGATCCTCCCTCCTTGGCCTCCTGAGTAGCTGGGATTCTACCTGTGTGCCACCATGCCTAGTTATCGTATTCCTCTTTCTAGGCCAGCCCCATAATCAGCACAAACAAACCACAGATGCTACAGCGCCTTGTTACTGCTTTATTCTAGCATAACTAGAAGTGAAACTGTCACGATTAAGAGCAGGTTCAACAAGGACCTTAAAACCGAAAAGGACACAAATGATATGGCACTCTCCTTTCAATAGTAACTGTCCCATTGAAAATCAAAGTGTTTTCTTAGACTGAGGCTCTGAGTCTTATTTGGAGGTGGTAACTGTCAGCATGTTGAGCTTCTTGGGGGCAGAAGTTTAGCCTGTAGGCTCGGCCACTAGTTATCTGTGTCCTCCACCCAAGGAGTGCCCCCATGACATTCCACGAGGAATAGGCTGCATGGTTGATACATACCCAGTGGCACGGGAAACATCTGGGGAAACAGTTAGACATGACTGCTTTTCCAGCAGTGGGAAGTCCCTGAATCAGCTGGTTTGGAGAGGAAGAGCCTAGGACTATGCATTTTTTAAAAAAAAAGTTCAGATAATTCTAATCTAAGGAGGTACTACTGACACTGTGCGAAACCCCAACCTAAAGTCCTCGAACTGTGGCTGGCAAATTACTGATGATGATAAAGCCGGGTGCTGTGGGCATGGTGATCACATTTTTAGTCTAAAAATTCCTACAATAAGAGTTGTGTGTTGTTTAAATGAATTTTTGGGCCAGAAATCTAGCATGGCGAGCCAGGGTTCAAAGAGGTGGTGGCCATGTCCCTAGAGCCCAGAGGCAGGATGCATGAGAAAGCCCTTGACAGGGTGGGACCACGGACCTCACCAGGAAGAGCTGTCCTGAAGCCAACCACCAATTCCTGCAAGGTGTAAATGATTCTCCCTGAGAGTCTAGCCATAATTTCATTTTTATTAAAAAAAAAAAAGCCAAAAATAAAATATATGCTAAGCCTGAATTTAAAATAGAGTAACTTCCATGAAATATAAACTACATCAACTGGACTATTTAGGAAAAAAAAAAAAAGGATGGTTGACACCAGGAGGGAGGAAAGAGTTGGGGGTTGCAGAGAGACCTCTCAGGCTGCAGCTTTTGGCTCTGGAGGGCAGAAGAGGGGCCCAGTGGCTAGGGTAGAGGGAGGCGGAACAGAGAGGGCAGCGGCAAGCAGCCAAGGCAGGCTGTACCAGAGGCCCTGGGCATCGCCCCTATTGCTGGGTGACATGGGATATTCTAAGGCAGGATGCATGAATATGAGACACCATGCAGATTGTCGGTGTATTCACATTTTTCACAAAATGCCTGTTCTAGTCAGAGGACCATTGAGCCAATGCTCCGAGCCCCCACGACCACCTTCTGTGTGGGAGGACTAAGTCATCCTAGTTCCTGTCATGCCTAGAACCACTGCCTCTAACCATCCTCAAGTCAAACTTGCTAAGCCTACTTTTCAAATGACTTGGCCAACATGTCACGAATGGTGGAAATGCCTGAATGAAGAGGGGTAAGAGAAAAACAGGTAATGGAGGTGAGGCAGATGAGACCCACCCTCACTTTGTACATAAGGGACATACTCGGCTGTGACTGCCTTCAGGAGCGTGGCTGAATCGTTCCTTTCCTAAGCAATGTGCTTGGAAAAAGCAGTGGCGGTTTTGTCTGAAGGAAACAGTAATAATGACAGTGAATCCTTGGGGGGGAGTCTCACTAACTGCCACTTATCCACCCAACACCCAAAAAGGGGGGTGAGTTTAATATTCATCTTAATTGCCAGAGAGCCCACATCCTGTTTTCTCCCCCTCTAGAGGGAGCCCAAGGACTCTGCCCAGACAGGAAGGAGGGAGCTCAAAGGAGTCTTCAGGCAGCTGGGGTTGTGGCTCAGGGTTAGAGGGCTTGCCTAGCATGCGTGAGGATCCCCAGCACTGCATTAAAAAAAAAAAAGGTATTATATCCATCTACAACTAAAAAAAATATTTTAAAAAAAGGAGTTATCAGGAATGGGCAGCAGGGCATCTCTTAGGTGGCATGCTCTCTCTCTGCCAGAAATAACAGGTTTGGGTACTTCCTCCTTGTGGACAGGGAGCCTAATGGGATGGAGCCCCTGCCTTTGATCTTCATCACAGATGGAAACTGGCCACTTCTGGACTTTACCCAGTGTGTACGAGAGTTTGGTTTGTTTATTGTTTTGTTTTAACATAGATTTGTTGCCCAAATGGGGAGATTTTCTTCATGAAAGTTCAGATTTCTGCTAACGCTGGTCCCTACCTAGGGCGCCCTCCCACCAAGCCCAGGACTAGCTCCGCAGCACTGAGTCTTGCTGCTGGTTCTCTCACAAGAGGCAGTAGGTGGGTGGAGAGGTTCCTACAGCTCCAGGGGATGTCAAATGTGAGAAGAAAGGAGGCTGAGGGGAAGCATGTTTTGGGAGAATAGCTGGGAGAGTGTTTCTACAGAAACGTGAACACACAGACAATCTGCATGGTGTCTCAGAACAGAATCTGAAGTAAAACCCATTTCCGACTCACTTTGTTTGTCCCCAGAGGCACCTGGGGCCAGCACAGACAGGCCCGGGAGACGGAGCATCTAAGCACAGGTTCCTAAAGGCCCCTTAGAGTCATGAGGTCAATTTAGCAGATGGCCACCAGCCTGCTTTGCTTTCCTTCCTTCCTTTTTCTTTCCTTTTCTTCTTTTTCTTTTTTACACCCTAGAAAAGAGTGTACTGCAAACAGGATACAACCTAACATAATGTAGGGTGTATTTTTAATTATTGGTGACAGGTTAAAAACAACAATTAATGGCTGGGCGAGTGGCTCAGGCCTGTAAGCCCAGCAGCTCGGGAGACTGAGGCAGGAGGATCATGGGCTCAAAGCTTGGCCATGGGGAGGCGCCAAGCAACTCAGTGAGACCCCGTCTCTAAATAAAATATAAAATGGGGCTAGGGACGTGGCTCAGTGGCAAGTGCCCCTGGGTTCAATCCCTGGTACACCAGCCCCCCTCCCCTCAAAAAAACCAAGCAAACAAACAAAAACCTAAACCAGCCTGCCAGGGGTGAGCCAGAGAGGGGTTTGGTGCTGATGTTCTGCTCCCCACAGGGGCTGAGGTAGGAGAACCGTGGATTCTGGGTCACCTCCTCACAGATGTACTTTTTCCCCAACTTGAGGGAACTGATGCTGTCACTGAAGCCGGCGAGGTCTGGTGGCGGCAGGCAGTCTATGGAGTGCAGGCCTGGGCTTCCTGTCCATTACTGCCCCCCAGGACCTCGTGCCTGGCTGCCTAGAAGTGGCTATTAATGCTAGTAAGATCACCCCACAGAGACAGAGCACTGTTTCAGACCCTCTAGACTCCCACGTCTAGGACACCGTCAATTGAGCTGAGGAACAGAAGTGCAGCAGGATTCAGCAGAACCCTTTACACCCAGGGACCCTGGGCGCCGCGGAGGGGGGCTTCACCCAAATCACAGAGCTAGTTAGTGACGAGGCTGAAACCAGACTCCCGACTTTCACTCAGGTCCCAAACACGTTGCCCCCAGCTTTTTCAAAAGTGGATCCCGGGGGGCTGGGGATGTGGCTCAAGCGGTAGCGCGCTCGCCTGTCATGCGTGCGGCCCGGGTTCGATCCTCAGCACCACATACAAACAAAGATGTTGTGTCCACCGAGAACTAAAAAAAAATAAATAAATATTTAAAAAAAAAAAAAAAAAAAAAAAGTGGATCCCGCCTGATTTCCCAGTGTCCCCGGGCACCCAGACATCTGTCTGGATTGACTGCAGCCACTCCCTTCTTGACTCCCAGAAGGCAACAGAAGGCTGTGACAACGGAAAGCTGGAGTCCTTTAAGCAGGAAGCTCTTAACTGAATCACACCTGGGGAGCTTCTTCAATGAACATGTGCTAACCACCCCCCCATAGTAATTTCCAGAAATAGGCCCCAGGCACGACTGTGAGACTCTCTGCCCTAACCTTATTTCAGATATGAGGCTGAACGCTCCAGTTGCTAAGCAGCAATCGGAAACCTACCTGCCCCCTCCTTCTGAGCCGCCTACTTTCTTTCCCCAGAAGTGTTAATGAACTTGGACATGGCCTGAAGGCTGAGGTGAGGAGGGAACAGCCAGAGCCCCCGAGTGGTCAGTGGAGGGAAGGAAGCCTCTGTTCCTGGATGCCGTCCTGAGATGCACACAGGAGCCCACGGTGCTCACACCAAAGCACAGGCGCTCTCCCAGCGGTGGACCAGGGCAATTCACACCTGATTAGAGATGCGCGTTCACTATGCAGAATGTGTGGCTGGAAGGCTGCTGAACCAGCACTTTGAAAAGTTAATTAAGTGCCAGGTTTCTTTTTAAGAGCTCCTCCATCACTTGCTGATGGCTGTGGCCATTTTGCAGAGTGAGGCCTCACCTCTGGACACCGGGGGTAAACCTCCTCCCTCACCTCCACCCACTAGTTGCCTTCCTCCTGCGAGGGAGGCACCCTCCTGGTCAGTGGCCTGGCAAAGGGAAGTCATGGCCACCTCTGTGTGGTCCTTTCCAAACTGCCAAAAACACTCAGCCACAAAGCCACCCCGTGCTTTAAACATCGGCTCCTCGAGCAGAGGTGCTTAAGGGTGAGAGTCTGTAGAGTCCTGTCCCTCAGCTCAGCACTCAGCCAGCCCCTTCTTCTTTTCACCCCCATTTCTCTTTCTTCGGCTTGATGCAGTTACTCGCTCTTAATTTTTAGGAAAACCCACTCCC